CTCTCTCTCTCTCTCTCTCTCTCTCTCTCTCTCTCTCTCTCTCTCTCTCTCTCTCTCTCTCTCTCTCTCTCTCTCTCTCTCTCTCCGCGTGTGTGCGAGAGCCGTGAGTTCTTGAAAATGCGCGCCCGCGCATACAAGGACATACAATGGCGTCTCCGTGTCTGAACGCGCGCACGCGAGCAGTGAGTCAGTGAACGTGCGCTAGCGAAAGCGTTCGCCAGCAGGCGGGAGGGACGGCCGAGAGAGAGAAGGGGGCCGGGTGAGGGGGAGAGCGAAAGAGCACGTCGATTTCAACGTGAGGGAGATCGCGGGAAGAGAGCGAGGCCAGTGAGGAAAACAAATCATGTAGACATTGACGTGATTGGTGTCTCTCACTCTCTCTCTCTCTCTCTCTCTCCCCGCGTGTGTCTGTGTGAGTTTGCGCACATGAGCCGTGAGTTCGTGAAAGTGCGAGTGCACACGAAGGAGAAGGCGTTTCACGAGCTCACGGCTGACGTGCGCGAACTGAGTGAAAGAGAGAGAGAGGACTTACCCGCAGGAACAGCAGGGCGGAAGCAAAGGCGACTGCTCGCAGGTCCACAAAGCGCGCCACAACGACTGGCTGGCAGTTTGAGGTGGCGGCTCCTCAAACAAAGAGCGGCTGGTCGTCTAATAACGCGCGTTGCCGCACGCGGCGCGCGTCAGCGCGAAGGCCTAGGTCCCCGTTGCGCGCGTTCTCCGAATCTGGCCATGGATTTGCAGAATATACGGTCAACAATTAAAAGGCCAACGCGGTGAACCGGGACCGTTGGGCCAAAAATTTGAACGGGCGGCCCCTACTTTGGACGATGGATTTCCCGCGCCTTGCTGGTAACGGTGTTGTCGCCAGATTGGAATCTACCGCGGCGCCACCAAAAATGGAAAGGCAACCGGTCTTTTAGGGCCTCGTTCCACTACCCTCGACTTGAAAAATATCTCAAGGGCATCCCTACAGGCGCCCTTGCGCGAAAACGTCATTAAAAAATACTAGAGTGCGTCTTCGTTCCACTGCACCCTGCAGTTCCCGCTGGCACAAGGACGTCTTCGTTCCACTGCACCCTGCAGTTCCCGCTGGCACAAGGAGCGGGAAAAAGTGCGGCCCGGTTCGTTACAATATTTTCACCACCAGGCCCGGGGCCAGGTCCCACTGGCGTGTGTTGTTCATTCTTGACCGCTGATTGTGGCGGGAATACACAGATCCATGGCCCGAAATGAAGAACACCATCTAGTGGGACCTGGCCCCCGTCGCTGGACCAGGACTACGGGGGTTCGCAAAAAAAAAAAAAAAAAAAAGACCGGAGGAGGGGGCTGAACTGCCTTTCGGCCGCCTTTTCCAAGAATTTGGCCCAAGTTGCCTCGGCAACCTATGGCCGCCCTTGAGTCTCAGAGCGGGATTTTCTTCAGGTGGGAAGCTTAATCACTTTCCATTGTGATTAGCAGATCTCAAGGGCCTAGTGGAACGGCGCCGCCCTTGAGATATTTTCAAGTCGAGGGTAGTGGAACGAGACCCTTAACCTTTTCAAGGTCCATAACTCCACAAGCGGGGGCCCGCTTTTCAGCCATGGTTGAACCCCCCAGGTACTGAAAAGTGCATTTGGGGATAATCTTTTCAGCCTTTTTTTTTTTTTTTTTTTTTTTTTTTTGCCCTGTTTTATTTTTGGTCAAGGTCTGCGTGTGCAGAGTCTCGTGATTGTTGGCGTCTTGGAGATGACTGTTTTGGCCAGCCCTGACAATCCTGAAAACTGAAAAGAGAGAATTTTGCATGAAAACATACTTTTGCCTTGGCCCTTTTGATCCGTTTTTTCACTTTTTTTTTTTCGCTGTTGATTTATTTAGTATCCACTCTATGGACCGCGGACAAGCGACGATGGGAGACAGAGGCACAAATTGACTTACCGTGAGGGTGGGGATGCGCAGGCCATAGTTTGTTTGGTGATGTGTTGGGGAAGGGTAAGGTAGTGATTATTCTTTGTGTATGTTTTGTCATGTTTGCTACGAAGAGTTTGTGTGTGTGGAGTTGTGATGAACTACTTTCTGTAGCGCGCGACTTTCTGCGCAGTTACAATGAGGGGTCCTAAGCTGGGAAGGTTGGGCCAATTACGGGAGATAGGTATGGACCGGAAATTGCATCAGTACCCTCGCTTCTTCGCCTTTTGCGTCGATTCTTTTTGGTTGGCTGAGTTCGGAGCTGGGTGTGTCCCGGGACGGGTGATTGATTGCTCGGATGGCTAGCGCGCCGCGAGGCACGCGATCAATAAATGTTGACGTCATTTCTTTTTGGTTCGGTTTCGGAACTTTTTGGGTGCGGACATCGCGCAGGAATTTGCTTCGTTCTTTTTGAATTTTCTTTTTGAATTCTCTTTCGAACTTTGTCGAGCCCCGATGGCTCTCGGAATTTCGGACTTCCCTCCCCGAACCTGTACTTTTGCTTTTTCGCATTAATTAGGAATTTAGGAATTTTGTAATTAGGACTTTCTTTTGTCGTGCGGCGCCTTTTTGCTTACGCGCTTCTTTATGCGGCTGTAACGGAATTCTGCTTAGTCGGCGCCTTTAATCGGGTGTGTAACTGTAATTTTGTGTTGGCGCCATTGTAACTGTATCTTTCTTCTTGCACTTCGTCTCTCCCGCCCTCCTTCTCTTTCTTTTGCTTTGTTTTTGTAGCCACAAACTGCATGCTCAGATCGATGCGTGGAGAGTGGCTACGTCCCCCACGCCGCGGCCCGGTCATGCAAAACGCAGGCACTCCCTCTCTAATCTCCCCTCTAAGTCCTGGTAATTCTGTGTTCTTCGTGCATGCATGTACGCTATAAATTTCGGCTGCGCGATTAGTTAGCTCGCTTAACCAGCTGTTGGAAGCTCGGGGTTGCGCGATCAGAGAGGGTCGACACACGAGCGAAGTAAGAGGTGAGTAGAGCAGGAGTCGGGCGACCCGACGAGCTGGTGCTAAACGCGCGGGGTTGACGAGGGCCACGACGGACTGTGGGAACGGGCGAACCTGACGAGTGCGGGAGAACTAAGCGGCGTGACGGCTTCGTGGGTTGTTGCGCGACGACGGACTGTCCACATCGGAGAAGAAGAGAGAGGAAGGGAGAGTTGATGTTGATGGACGCGGATTTGCTGTTTCTTTTATCTTTTCTCCCTCCTGTCTCATGTATATAAATTTTGATTTCGGCTCCGGGCGATTCGCCCGTTCTCTGTTTTTCGAAATCGGGACTTGGTTTTTGCTCACGCTTGTCTTCGTGATTTCTATCTCAGATGCACTATGGGTGTATGTTGTTGAATGAATGGATGTATGGATGTCATGTTTGGTTGCTTGTCTTCCTACCGGATCCTTGCCTTTGCCTTTTGCCTTTGATGCACTCATGAGTAGGAATTTTGTGCAATCGGTAATCC